GAAAATATTGTGTGAAAAGAACATTAGGAAGCTGCTCATGAAGAATTGCTTGTTTGAAAAAGTGAAATTATGTGAAACCATTATAATTCAACTGTTTCCAGGTCTGAATACTTGCATTATATCCATTTTTGTTGTTGTTGTTGTTGTTGAGATATGGCTAGACAACTAAAAACCAAGTGTGTATGTGTGTGTGTGTGTTGTAATAATATGTAATATGTAATAATATATTTGCATTATAAATGGGAAAAACCATTTAAGTACCTATATCAAGAAAATTATTTAAATTGTATGTTAATTTTTAAAGTATGCCATCAAATAAGTTGTCAAAAATGTATGGGATTGAATTTGGCATTGAGTATGTGATGGCTGGAAAAACTATTGGCATTTTGATTCAAGTAAGAAGAGTTGCCAAAATTAACTTAAATAATTGTGGGATATTATGTAGACAAACACTCACAATTAAGCAGATTAATGAACATCTTTCAAAACATGTTTGGTTTTGAGGTAGATATTGCCCAATTTTTAAGGTATACTCTTTAGAATGTAGAATTTTTAGCTTTATTTGTGGACAAATAGATGAATTCTAAAATTCACTTTGCAGTTGACATTAGTTGGTTCTGCCAAGGCCAAGTCCTGATACAAATTTTCAACTGAGACAAGATTTTTTTTTTTTTTTTGGTAATAGCACTATTTATAAAAACCTCACTCAAAACATGGTTATGCTGATATTTTTTAATAAGTGGAGGATCTCAATATGGCAATGCTAGGCTGCCGTGTTAATCTTATTTGCAATTGCATATGTGGTGATAGCAATAAAATTGAAACTTTGGGTTCAATATGCAACATAAAGTAAATTTAATTCTTATGAATCTATGTGATAGAAACAGGTATTGAGATACATGAGATTCTTTAGTGATACCATTGAAACCTCATAATATTTCAAGTTATGTGTATCTTATGTATGCAGACATTTATTGATAAAAACATACATTTATTGAGAATTCTTCATCAAATGCAATCCTGAGGTATTAGTAGTTATTCAAATTGCAAACAAATTTTATACTACTCCTCTTTCAAGTTTCTGGATGTGTTTAATTGAAGACTTTTGGGATTGCAAAGTAAAAGTTTAAAAATTAAATAGTCATTTGTGTAATTCAGGATTTTCTGTATTCCAACAACAAAAAGGAACTCAGAAATAAATTGGATATTTACATTGAAATCTGATTACAACTACCAGTCTGAGAACCTGATTTCAGAGTTTCATGTGCAGTCTAATAATCTTATTTCCTTCTTGTTGATAGTATTATAAATTCAGACTTATAAAGTAAAAACGCACTGAGGCATACATTTGTATTTTTTTTTATATTGTAGTGTCTGCCTATTTTTTTTCCATTTCATTGTATTTTACTTTTGTCTTTCTTTTCAATTTTATAGTTATACTGTCTTTCATTTGATATTCCTTGAAAGTCTATTATGTGCCATTAATGTTTTATGTTCTGGGGATTTAATGATGAACAAACTGGATATGTTTGTTGATTATGTGAAGTCTACATTCTTTTAGGAAAAAAACCCAAACTGCTATCATATTTTAAAAAGTGATGATTCTAGAGTTTTCTCTTTGCAGCAAGGAGAGCCCAACCTGAATATGAACATTCTCCTTTTTCTGGGAAATTATGGCAATGGGGCAGACCTCCTGAAGAAATCTGAACTGAGCAGTGAACAGACCTTAGGATTAAGGAAGAGGAAGAATTGGGTGCATTTGGTCCAGAGTGGTTGTGTAGAACCTAAGCTTAAAAGTTCGTAGTTTTCTATGTGTTTGAGGTAGGTTGAGGGGCAGGGGACAAAAAGAACCCCCAAACAATAAAACCGATAATATTTGCAAGCTTCTCAGTTGGTTGTAGAGTCCGAAACACAGAGAGTAACTGCATGTCATAGTACTTTAAAAGTTCAAAACATGACGTCAAAGATCAATCAACACATATCCATTAACAACCAGCATGTTCCTAGGTACTGTATGAGAAATAAATAAGAAATGTATGGTATTTTCTTAATCCTTAAGGAGTTTAACAACTAACTCCAAACTAGCCATTCATCATACTGGACACAAACAGACACCATGCCACTTAGAATCTAAAATTGGATCAGATGTTTCCTATCCTAACCATGACTGTAGTGAGAGATAACTACAATACAAAGTAGAATATGATAGAACCATAAAATAGTGTAGCATTTTAAAGCACCAGGCTGGTATTTAGAAAAAGAAAGAACCAATATGGGCTAAAGTGATTGTAGGAAAATTCTGTGGAGGTGGAAGGGCACTGTGTGGGGCAGTGATGTGCTGAAGCTGGACCACACCATTCCCCAAGGGCCAGCCCTGCGTGTTTCTTTCCAATTTTACAAGTGACAATGAGTTGATGGCTGGATTTTGGTCATGATGGAAGTATTCATAACATGGAAAATGGAAAATGTGGTAAGTCAGGGTGTTTGTTTGTTTTCTTTTTTTCGAGAGCTGGCTGATAGACAATCAGTGTACCACTGGTCTACTTGGATGCACAGTATGAGGACAGAGATTGCCATCTGTTGAATATGACCATGAATCTGTGTTAGTCATCATTGCCCAATAAACTTAGCAGTAATTACACATGAAATACATGTTAACTTGACAAAGTGGTAGGAAAATAAAATCTTGAGACCAACCAAGTCTGGGGCAAATTTATGAAGCAGGGAAAAATTGTCATCCCTTTCTCATGAAAACATTCCCTTGTCCTTGGAAGTCTGGTACCCTTTTATTTCTTTTCAAATGTCAAGAACATTCTCCAATTCAAGCTCCACTCAATGATATCTTCCCTCCCCTCTCCCTCATCAGTAGATTCTTCTTGGATACCTTTCCTTATAGCAGAAAGATCACGGTGTGTTATCACAGTGTCAGTTGTGAAGGTCAATGTGATAAGCATTCCCTTGATTTATACTTTAGGCCTTACCTTAAGGAAGAAGTTTAGCAATTTTAGTGTGTAACAAGTCTCTCTGGATAAGACACTTTAGGGGCAGGGGCCACTTCTATCTGAAAATGCCACAAAGAGTTTACTGATTTGACTCAAATAGAATATTTGGCCTGGTTAAAATAGTTCTAAAATAACAATCCAGAAAACTGAAGACAAATAAACGAAATATTTCTGTGGTGCCAGATTTTCTGATGGGATCTGAGAAATGAAGTAAAATTCCATTGGTGGATTTTAACTTTGTTCTTTGCCAAACCAAAGCAGATATTAGTGCAACCAGCCAAGGAACATATCTACTTGCATTTGCCTCTCCCCACCCCTGCTTCTTCATTACGATATCCTTTGCTCTCTTCTAACTAACAGATTTCAATTGTAACTAATGAAGATTAAGGCTAATAATTTTGGAAGTAGGATTTTCAGTTAGTTCTTACTATTCTCACTTTTAACACTATCATCATTGTAGTTTGTTCCCGCAAAAATTGATCAGGGGACAAGCAGTATAAACTAAAAAGGAAAGTATGAATTAGGACCAAATGGATTTGGACTCAAATCTTGACTTTGTTTCTTATTTGCTGTATGCTTGGGCCTCAGTTTCCTTATTTGTTAAGCATAATTAATAATATCCACTTTACTAGATAGGGAGGCATAAATGAAATAATATATGGATGAAGGGAGTCTCATGACATTCTTGCAGCCAAAAGGCAAAAGCTCTCAAATTATATGTGTGTGTGTGTGTGTGTGTGTGTGTGTGTATACACACATACAAACAAATAATTCTAACTATTCTGGTTGCCCAACATTTAAGGAAGAGTTTATGTACTTTATTATATAGCCCCAAATTTCTTTTATGTCATAAATATAAGATGATAATCTAATTTTCTATGTAGAGGTTTAGAGCAGCAAGATCATTTCTCACTGGTGTTGAAATAGACACAGAAGAAGGCTACTACATTTGCTTGACAAAAAATGCAAAGATGTTTATAGGATAATTTTAGAGAGAGTTTCTCCATCGAACTGGAGTTGGGATAAACTGGGATAATACCCAGAGTAAAGGCTGAACTGAGCAGGACAGTGCTGTAGCTTCTATTTGCCTATCTAGTCAGATATATGTACTTGCTTCTATTTTGATGCCGGAATTTAAAAGTGGTATGCACACTGCAATCTGGGCTCACACTTAAAGGATCAACGAAGCAGGAAAGCATCATCATGCACATCAGTGTAATAGTGATACTGCTTTTGTGATATTAAACCAATGTATTTGTCAGTCTCAAATCATGTTTCCTTTTAGCATTCCACTTACAAGGCTGAGCAGAGAAGCTTATTGCCGTAGGGAAAAAGAGAGCAGTTTCTTCCTGGAACCCAGAGGTCCTCGATGTGCTTTGAATCTCAAAGTGGGCTGTTTTTTAACGCAAGGTAATAATAGTGAAACCCAGAAAATCTCACCAGAGAAAATGCTGTTCTAAATTTCTCTGTTCCAGACCTGGAATTCTAGAGAGTGGAATTATTATTTTTAAAGTGTGTCTGGATGGATAAAAGAACAAGATATACAAAGAGGAAGTAGAAAGTCTACATCTTCATGTGCTGGTGAAATATGGGAAAAGGGAAACTAAGGTAAAGCACAGGGTTATACTGTGAGTTCTGCTCTTCATTTTTTTTAATGGAATAAAAATTCAAGGAAGCAGTGTCATATAAAACCGACAAATTTTGAAGTTTAGGAACATATGTGTGAGTGTATGTGTGTGCACGTGTGAGTGTGTGCATGCACCTGTGTGTACTAGCATAACTTCCCTAGGCATACAAGGAAAGACTGCACACCTCTAGGACAAAGATTAGCAAACTTTTCTTGATAAGAGTCTGATAGTTAATATTTTAGTCATTGTGGAACATGTGGTTTTTGTCACAAGTACTTACATCTGCCAATGTAGGGGAAAAACAGTCATAGACAACAACAATCATGTGTATTGATGGGAATAGCTGTACTTCAATAAAACTTTATTTATAAAATCAAGTAGCAGACTGGGTTGGGCTCAGAGGCCATAGGTTGCCAAAACCCAATTGAAGGAGACAGCTCAGATGTGGATATTCCCAACACGTTGCCGGACATCTGTTGATAGTATGCAGAGGTGCCATGAAAACTGGTAGATCATTAGAGAACTGGAATCAAGACAGGGAGGACATTATTTTTAGGGAATGGTGACTGAAAATTATCAGCTGAGTCTTGCACAGAATCCCAGAATGCCAGCAATTGTCTCAGTCATTAGTAGCTAAAAATCCAGAGCTTGCAGTAAATCATAGCAAAATGATCTGGAGAATGCCAGGTGTCTGAGGTCTCCTTGATCTACAGGTAAGCTTGGGAGCCTCTGTCTTTGTCCATTCTTGATACTATAACAAAATTACTGAGACTGAGTAACATACAAAGAACACATTTATTGCTCACAATTTTGGAGGCTGGGAAGTCCAAGATCAAGGAACCAACAGGTTTGTTGTCCAGTGAGGGCCCAGTTTTTGCTCAAGGTGGCATCTTGAACACTGTGTCCTTACATAGCAGAAGGCAGAAGGGCAAAGGGGGTGAATGCTGTGAGAACCTGTTTTGCAAGCCATTAATCCCACACAGGAGGGCAGAGCCCTCGTGATTTAATCACCTCCTAAAGGTATTGACACTTAATACTATTACATTGACAATTAAGTTTCAACGTATGAAAGTTCTATGTGGTCATAGAATCATCCTTGGTTGCTATAAACTCAGACATCATCCCAAAGAGCAATGGGGAGAAAAGGCAATCTGAAAATCTCAACATTTACTGAACAGACTAAGCTGCCCAAATGGGATCAGACTGAGTTTACTGAAGTGCATCATATTTAGTTCCCAAACCCTCATGCTTCCCATCACAGAGGGGGTAATGATGCATGTGTACTTTTAGTAAATTGTTATTATACTGGTAGTGTTTAAGTGTTGAGAAGTCCCTTTTCTTTCATAGAAATGGCTGTGTGGATTCTAGTCTCACTTTCTCCCCCAACCCACATTGGAGAAGTTTTCCATGTGTTTGCAATGTCTTCCTTCTCAACCTGTATGTCCAAATGTCCCTCTGTTATGAGTATCTTTTACTTCTTCCTAACAGGCAACAATACTTGAATGAGCATTTACTTTTTAATATTACAGGTAATTTCTTTCCTTTCAGCTACAAAATTCTAATGTTTAACATAATTATCGAAAACACACATGCTTCCCTTGATTGAGGTTTTGATGCTCACCTTCAGGAGGTACTAAATGCTTCCTCCACTGCCAACTCTCCTTAACTTGTTTACCCACTGTCCCAACTGTTAGTTAATTAAAAATCACCCATCTCAACACATACGACTCAGTCAAGGACTGATGATGTTTTGTAGTGAAAAAAAAAACAAAAACATAATTCTGTTTGAAGAAATCATTGATGTTTTTGAAACTTTAAATTCCTATTTTAGGTGAAATTGTGCAGTCCCCACCCACAACAGCTACTAAAGCCCTAAACTAAAATCTCTAAATGTGACCTTATTTGGAAAGAGTCTTTGTACAGGGTCAAGTTAAGAGGAGATCATTAGAGTGAGTCTGAATTCAACATGACTGGTATTCACAGAAAAAGGAGAAATTTACACACATGGATAGTTTGAGAGCACAGAGAAAGTAATGACATGGGAGGCACCTTGACAAACCAAGGAATTCCTGAGGTCATCAGAAGCGATGAAAGGGGCATGCAGCAGAATCATCCCTCTGACACCTGTCAGAAGAAACCAGTTCTGCTGACAACTAGATTTCAGAATTGTAGACTTCACAACTGTGAGATAATACATTTCTGATTTATAAGGATTCAGTTTGTGGTACATTGTTATAGCAGTGCCAGATTGTTGTCAATGATTTTTTTGTTGAAGAATATTCAAAAGTTTAAGAACCAAGGCTTCCATTGAGCATGCATGACTAAGGTTGTACCCCAACACACCCCTGGAATTCCTAGATAACCTATGTCAAACACATTATTGAACACACTGGATTAATTCTACATATTTCCACTTATGTAAAACTTCATTTCTAATGACACTTGCACACAAGTGTACATAAATCACAATGGAAAAGTGATATTAAATGACTTCTGATTTTTTTTTTTGAAGGGGTGAAGATCCCAGGTCATATATCTGGTTTCTCAATTCTGGGGCCCAAATTCTTGGAAACATGCCTCAAGGTAATGAAGGGAGATCCCAACGCTGATAAATGCTTTTTTTTTCTATGAAATTCTCAGTAATGTTTTTCCTGAAGCCATAAGACAATGGTTGTATCTTCAGAGAAAAAGAGGAATACAGAGTGGATAATTATCCTGTTAATTTTAAGGGTATAATTTTAGGCCCCAAGGTGGATACTTTTTTATTGGAACTATCCAATTTGGCTGGGTAGAGAAAGCCAAAGAAAACATGAGTGAAACAGACTTTTGTTTGGTTCCAAATCTGTGGCTTCTGCCCTTTCAGAAAGTGGTTTGATCTTTGAAGATGAATTCCTCACACTGCCAGGTATTCCATTAGTGTACAAGAGTATTTTTATGCTATTCTTTAGCATGCAGGCAATGGTATTGTGTAAGCTGTACCACAGGGAACAAAGCGTGATTAAAAACATTTGTGGCTCATCGTTAAATATAGAAATCATTATAATTGGATTAATTTAGGAAATACACGGTGATGCCTGAGTTTCCCCTTGAGAGCCAAATGTACATTAAGAGCTAAATTTTCAAAAAAGTAGAGAGTTGACTTTCTCTCATAAAAAAACATGTAGATTTAATTCAGACTCCCTTAATCCCAGGCTACAGTAAAGAAAGTATAACTTCTACATGCCACACTGGTGATAATTTTACTGGAGTCAAATCCATCTTCTTGAGAAAATATGAAGGTAGATTTCTGCAGGCAAGTTTAGCATTGCTCCACGAAAATTTGGTCCTAAAGGTACAACTGGACCTTTGAAAATGCCACTGGAAGCAAGTTACATCAATCCTGGTAGGAGAAAGGAGAGTGGCTGAGACAGGAAATATAAATGATGGAATAGTCATATAACAAAATACTTTCAACATGTCTTTTGTTATGTAACATTACCCATGGCATGTCTATCAGTAATATTGTCAGAGGCTGTAATTGAAAAGATACATTAATTATTATCAGTCACCTCCAGTAGCACTCTTACAGCTGATAGAGTGATGCCTTCATAACATAATGACAGAGATGTTGTCTGGTGTGCAGGAAGCTGCAAAGATGAAATTTTTTCTTTCTTTCTTTTTTTTTTTTTTTTGCAGCAGGTTAAGATACATTGGATCAGATTTCCTTTTAACACCATTCTTAAATTTCTAGACTGAAAAATTCCCAGAGATAAAATGTCCAGGTTTCTCCACTCTTTTCCACTCCTCCAGTTCAGTGGTGCTCTGGGAAAAAGACAAATGAAGAACACATTGTGGTTATCCAGCCCAGTGGCAGAGGAGGGAGGACTGCTGGTGGCTTGGGCTCTTCAGGGCGTCAGAGGCACTAGGCTGCCTCCTGCCTGGCCTCCTGCCCACGCTCCCTTCCTGCATGTCTGTACAAAACAAGTTGTGATAAATTAAGGCAGCTCGGAGCCTGCCCTCCATTTTCCCGTCTCCTCCCTTTACAAGCTGCAATTTTGTAGAAAGACGTAGTGGGTTGTTAAAGGAGAGTAATAGATTTGCCACAAGTTGGAAAAGGGTTTTTAATATTCAGCTGTTGTTTTTAATTGAAATTGGGAAACTATCTGCAGCATAAAAACTGGTGATTTTCAACTTCATTCTTTTTCCAGTGATTTGAGATGGTACGTGGATTTATAATAGACTCTCTTGGGTCCTCTTGGGTCAGAGTCTCTTGACAAAAGTGGGAGTCAAAATAATTCTGGCAAACTGGCAGCAACACAGTGACATCATTGATGCTAGGAACAACACCTCAGCTTACCAGAAATGATTCCGGCAACATGTTGTGGAGAGTAGAGAAGGGCTTTGGGGAGGATTGATCCTTGTAGCAATCATCACAGGGCAAAATGATAGAAAAAGTCTGCAGATTCTTTCTCTTTATATCTCTTCCTCTCTCTCTCTCTCTCTCTCTCTTTCTGTGTGTTTGTGTGTGTGTGTGTTTCTGGAACACATTTGTGTCATTATCATTTGATTACTCCTGACAATTTGCAAATTATTGAAAATGCGGATAAATAGATTGGGAGATAAGTGTTCACTTTAATCTATGAAATATGACTAGAGGGGGGAAAATAAGCAACAACGAAGAGATTTCTAACAGTTGGCTGGCTCATGGTGATGAGGATCTGGTCTCAGACACACATTATCTGATTTCTTAGTACTGGCATTTTTTTTTTTTTTGGATTGTCAAAATTACTAGTTTAAGTCATTAATCTAATTTGATCTTTGGTATTTCTGGTTCTTTTGAATGTTCTATCAAAATTAGACTTAATAATCGCATTTATTTTGAAGACGTTATTTTAATATTGAATTATATGTGCCAATGATGAAAATTCACAAATATTTCAGAAACCACGTGTGTGTCCCTAGGTGACCTGTGCATAGAGGTGCCATGCTCCTCACCCATCTTTCTCTTTTATTTTTGCCCCTACACAAGTATATACTGCCCATTCAGGATTGTCATGTTTTTCTAATTTTGGCCAATAGGTTTAAAACTATTTTTCTCTTTGCTTACATAGAAGCAAAATATTTTGGTGTTAAGTCATAACTACCATCAAAGAAAGGAGAGTTCAAAATTTGCCCAAGTATTTGGTACTGGGAAATTTCTTTTTTAGAGTTCTTAAATTCCTAGTGTGATCTGTTCAGTATCATTAAAAATATTAATCCACTACAATCTTTCGTGTCTTCCAAAGGAATTTAAAAAGTAATTTTGTTCTTCAAAACCTCAGAATGTTGAATGTTATAACTTATTTAAATCTTCACTATAAAACTCAAGGAATTGAAAAATTAAGTTGCTTAAGCTATATTTTTAAAAACTCATTTCCCCAGATAAATACCTCTTCTTTTCCATAATACCCTTACCTTTTTAGGGACTCATTTCTGGCAACACAATTTGCCTTTAGTATACGAAACATGCCATCTGAAAAATTTGGTCCAGGCAGAAATAGTTGATAATAGTTATTGCTATACCCTTCACCTCAGTTCCTGGCTTTACAATGTCATTGCCTTTTGCCTTCCCTACCACCACCCCGTACCTGGGATTGAACTTGGAGCACTCTACCATGGAGCTACATCTCTAGTCTTTTTTAATTTTCATTTTTGAAACAGGATCTTACTAAATTGCCCATGCTGATCTTGAACTTTCAATCCTCCTACCTCAGCCTCCCAAGCAGCTGAGCCACAGATCCAGGTTATGGTTTTTGTGTCTTGAAATTACACGGTGACAATTCAGAGGGCCCCAAAAAGAGTAGAGTGCAATGGTTAAGAAAACAGATTTTAAGGTTTGAAAGTCCAATTTTTAGATATGATGGTCAGTTCATTTTTGACAAATTACTTAATGTCTCTCTCCTTCACTTTGTCACCTATAAAAAGGAAGATAATGATGGGCTCAATCTCATTGCCATGAGGATTAAGCAACAAAATTATTAAGAGGAAAACATGTCATATATAATGGGCACTCCCTAAATGGAAGATATTATGAGGATGTTGGTTTATTACTAAAAAGGTGCCAGAGAGCCTGTCGAAAAACAGAAATTTCTTTGTTGGACATATTATTTTGCTTTCTCAGAATAATTTAGTATTTTAGAACAACTGTTCTAAATTATTCCATAAATGAGGTAGTCTTTTTTTCTGGTACTAGTGTTCTCCATATCATGGCAATTACAACCCACTACAGTTCTGTGCACAGAGGGAGTTGTATTAAAGAGGCATGAGAACTGTCTAAGGGAGTACATAAAGTATGCTATATTTGTGTTTGCTTTTATTTTTTATTTTTAGATTCTAATTTCAAATTCTGCAATTGGTATTTCACCAGAAAGATGGCTTATTTCATGCTTATGGGGTAAGCCATCTTGCTGGTGATGCGCAAGAGTTCTAGGGCAGCAAAGGCATCCTGGGGATAGATTCAAATTGTAACTATTTATTTTCTATGAGGGTTTTAGGGACAAGTGATTGAACCTCTTAGAGCTTCTGTTTCTATGTGTGTAGACTGAATAATAATACTTCACAGTGTTGCTAGAATTAAATGAGATACAATAGACAAAATTATTCAGAGCCATATTTGGCAACAATAATGACTTACACTTTATTAATTCGATCTTTTAAAATAGTAAGATTCCATTGGGTCTGTTGGGTGAATTGCCTTTCTAGGATTTCACCAGAGAGAAGTGAACCTTGTGGTGCTCACTGGTTTGTAAATACTTTGCATGTCTTCTTATTTGGTGCTCACTCAGACTGGACACGTGTCATTTCTTTACATGTGGATTTGCTTTGCATAAAGGATATTCCTATTTGGAGCAGATACACAGAGACTTTTGTGTTAGGATTTTCTGCTGCTCTCGCTTACATTGTCATTCTACAGATCTGTCTGGAAGAGGTGGAGGAGGCATTTTATCCTGTATGAATTGCTTTGCCATGCCAGATAGATTAAAATACATTTAATGTAATTTAGCAAGTTGTATCAAATCTATGGATTCCTTTAATTATAAAAAAGACATCCAGATTTTAGAAAGTGTGTATCGTGGGGTCCATGAAATATGGCAAATATCAATCTTCAAGTGTTCATTCTCTTTGGGGACCGAGTATGCTTTGTGATTCAAGTTCCCTTTTTCCTTCTCATCGCCAGCCTAATGGGCTGATTGGCACTTACAAGGATGAGAAGGCCTAGGAAACAAGGTTTGACAAATATTTTTGGATGCTTTTGTTGGCCAAGCCAAAAAATTCACATCATTTCTAAGGCAGCTATTTTAATGCTACATTAAAAATAATTTTTATTTTTTAAAAAAGGACAGTGAAGTAATCTCATTAAATATAACTGAATGTAATCTTCTTATTGTGTTGGACAAGAGAGCATGGCTATAATACATAAGTTATACATTAGATAAAATGGACATATAGTTTATATCTGAAATCTTTATGATTATAATGAACTATTATAATGAACTATTTGGCTTACAGTTTTTGGACTGGTATATTACTATTCAAATCTATTGTTTATTATAATTTTAACAAAACAACTAGTGAGTTTAACATAAATGTTATTCCTTAGCCAACCCACAATTCGTGGGAGTACGTATATTTTTTAACAGAAAGTTTGACATGGATGAGAAATGTATAGCTTATATGGAATCTGGGCCTTTGGATTTACCATTGCTTATTGATTCCAGATCTGCTGCCTTTATTATGTGGAGTTCCTTTTTAATTCATGATGGGAATCTGGGTGGTGATTTGGCCCTCAAATTCCCTATTCAATCCCATCAAACTGCTGCCTTAGTCTATAAATTTAAAGTGATCAATGACATATTGGCTTCAGTCTGGGGGAAAAAAATGTACATAGGGAATTAGGAAAAAAAAAAAAAACTTTTGTAGACTTGAGCTAAGTGATCAAAATGATTATATGGGATAATATGTAATCATATGTAACATGTTTGTACATGCATGTAACAACCACAATGTGATATCATATTTTGAAAAGTTGACAACTATTTTCAAAAGAATAAAATACTGAATGCAGACTGGTATGGATGCCTTCTGTAAGATGAGTGATAAAGGTTTCATTGTGGCCCTAGTCCAGGCTTCAAGTCAGAGAAGCCTGATGTAAAATCCTAGTTTTTCTATGAGTTAGCTGTGATTTTAGATAAGTCACTTGACCTTTCTGAATTTCAGTTTTATCATACATGTAAAATGTCCTCTTTACAGTTCTTTTGAGCAGTTATTTGAGGTAAATTATGTGAAAAAAGTATCTATGTCATATAGAGTAGTACTAAAAATCAAAAACACAGATGCTCATAGTATGACTCTCCAAACACCAAACAGCTATCCTCTATGTTCAGAATATAGGCTTCAGTGCCCCAGATACAAACGCATTTCCCAGCTCTTCATCATTTTGACCTCATCACTGTCATTTACTCTGAGATCCACAGATCAAATCCTGCTTTTTGTTTCTCATTCTGTTTGTGCTCATAAAAAGCCTCAGAATCCCAGGTCATACCTCATGTCCTGCCTTCTCACACCCTTACATCATTTCAGGAAATTGTGATAAAGGGACTCCTGGAAATTATAAGGAATTGACCCTGATATCCACTGGACATTCAGCAAACAAAAACACAAACGCACATGGAATGGTTCTTCAGTCAAGAACACCAGAACTTTCTTGGAACGCAGTCTCACCTTCTTGCTCTAAATGGAAACTTGCTCTCAGCAATGCAGACCTCCCCAGGGGGTGTTAATTT